ACACACTGACATGCTTGGCTAGCCGCCTCAATCCTGGCATGAATTGAGTCACTTTCATGTTTAGAGTGACCCCTTACAAAGAAGACATGGTGGATCTCCTCAAAGTCAAATTTTTAATGTTGTACAGCCCACCACAACATCGCCATGAACGGTCGATTTCTGTTCTGTCCACCAACAGAATCTGACAGCAACCTAACTGTTTTGATGGATCCTGACCTATTTAGCCGTTCTAGATGCTTCATCATGCACAAGGCAATGTCTCTAGCGCCACGTCTTGCGATATTTTCATTCTAGGGGTAATTGTAGCCTGTCTTGTCATGAAAACCATAAACACCCAGGTTGTACTTGTAGTGATTCAGTTGTCCCATGTAGTAGATGTCACCCTCATTTGATTTAGGAAGTGGCAAAATTTCTTCCAGATCAAAGGTAGCTGCAGCAACCGTCTTGTCATTTTGCACTTCTTTTTTTAGGTTATCTCTGTACTGGCTTGTAGCTGCAATTTCCTCTATGTGCTTCTTATCTTATATCTTATTTAATTTCTTCAGTCTTGTTTTCATTGTTATCGAACGCAGAACAAGCTGCACATGTATCTTCCTTTGGTCGATGGAGGCCAAGGTTCAGAGTGTAAAATACATTTTTGTAACTGGATAGGAATGCAATGCGTGTTGCCCTCGTCCCTTTGTGATTTGAATGGCGTCCGCTCTCGTCTGCTTCAACAAATCCAACTTTAGTGTTTTCCCCAAGAGCTGGGCATGTATTAACAAAACAGTTTCTGCAGTGTCCTAAGTATGTAAGAAGAACTTTTTACAGTCTATTGTTTCGTAACCATTGTTGATTAACTTGTAATATCTTGAGGTTCCCTTTGGTCTAACAGTGACTGTACGCCTATACTTTGGCTCAGCATCTCTGACAGTTGTTGCTATAAAATCCCAACGCATCTGGGGTTGTCCAAGCTCCCAAAAAATTTCAAAATGTCAGTTCCTTGCTCTTATGCGATTTTTTCCTTGCAACGTCGCTTGCAAGTATCTGGATTGCAGCCAACCCCAACAGTCTTTCTTTTTGCATAATTATGTAGCCTTTCCCTAAGTTTTACAAATCCTTTTTCTCCTTCCGTTTATTTACAGGTCTTTTGCGTCGTTCTGCCGTAGCTTGTGTGCCATGATGATCAGTGAGTGCGTCAGCACGTTTGTCTTCAGTGGGTTTTTACCAGAGAGGGTGCATTTGTGTCATTATGAATGGTCGTGGTAACTTTGTTTATCATATCCTCAATTAAATCTCTAATGACAAAAATATCAGAATGCATGCTACTGGCCTGAGAAGGATTATTTCCTAGACTAGCATTATCATTTAAAGAACTGTCTGTTGGCTGCAGTTCTTCTGTGGGCGTCTCCGTGCTCTGGTTTGGCTGTATTGCTTGGCTTTCCTTTCACAATACACACTCAGGGGCGTGTGGCAAGCCACCGTCTTCTCTGAGATCAGACTATATTTCACAGCCATTCCTCGGTAAGTCAAAAGACACTGGTATTGTTTGGGTCAACGCACGTCAGATTTCCACCCGAAATATACCTTTAGAACTGATTCAACGGCGAATGCGAGCATTTCAATACACTGTTCCAGCAAGAGGCATAATGTAGTATGTCAATACAAACTTGGTACATTTGATGAGGAAGTGCGAGAAATTCGACAAGTAATAATGTCGTATGTCGACATACGACATGCCTCAGTAGCTGTTACTTTGTAGTAAGTCGATACAACGTTCACTGACGATATTCTTCGACTTTATCTTAATACAAAATGTTTTATGCTTCTATACCCGTTACTATTTTACGTAGAGGAATGAAACCGGGATCAAAAGATGCGGCTCATAAAACTCTACAACATATTAGATTTTCATTTTTTCGAAATTTTGACTTACGACAATGATGAATGCCGGCGACGGTATAACGATGCTTTTTACGCTGTGGTCTGTTTTCTTGGAGTATAAGTCATTTCACTTTTTAGTACTTTGACCACCACCCCCCTCCCCCTCCCCCTCCAGTGGAGCACCTCTTTCTTTGATTTTTTTTTTACCTCAGACAGCAGCAGACATTCACTTGTTTCAACAGAATCGGGGGAATCTTCTCTATTGGTGAAACATCTCAGAGCATTCTGGACATCCTATTAGAGACTACGTACTTACTTATATGTATTACACCTTCAGCACCAACCTTGTCTCGCCCCCCTCCCCCTCCCCCCCCCCCCCCCCCCCTCTGCAGTGAGTAGGGGCTAACTTATTTCAAAATAGAATTGCATGAAGAAACAAGCACGAAGTCTTGATTAGTATTGGTGGCAACATCTATGTTATTCGGTAAAGGGAAACGTTGCCCTCCACCAGGAATGTACTTGATCTTGTAAGCGCATTAAGGGCCTCTTCTCTCAGATGGACCTTACCTAGGCCACGATGTCACAAAAAAAGCTGGAATTATTCTTAAAAAATAGGGGGAGGATGTCTAAACTTACTTTTATTCACTAACACATGTAATGACAAAAGTCTATAGTTTTCAAGCGACCTTTTTATTGTATATAAACTAGGGGATGTATTCATTTCTTAGACAACAAAAAAGAAAAGAAAAGGTCGCACGTTTACTTAAACGAAACGATATCGTTAAAATGTCCCATCTACTGCTACAATAACATTTTAGAATGGACTTTGATTTAATTGATCATCCTCCGTTATGCCGCCTTGACTGTCACAAGTATTGAAGTGTTTAAATAAAGAAGTTAATGCTTGTAGTTATTTTGTTTAAACCACAAAGAAACCTTAAACACAAATGCGAATAAACCAAGTTGGCACTCATGACGATAGTCAAATCTGGATAAGTGGGTTAAGCAGGTTTTTTAATGCGTTTTCTTTTTAGTTTTCGGCTTTGGAAAGAGGGGATGGGAGGCTCAAATGGAAAACCCAATCAGGGAAAGGCATCCATTTTAACACACAGGGCGAGAGAGAAAGAGAGAAGGGGGGGGGGGAGAGAGAGAATGAGTGAGAGAGAGAAAGAGAGAGAGAGAGGGGACGGGGAGAGAGAATGAGTGAGAGAGTGAGAGAGCGAGAGAGGAAGATAGAGAGAAACACAGGGATATTTAAAAGACTTTTACTCCAATAACTCGGGGACTGCCCTCCTCAAGTGGCCTGGAAAGAAATCTGGGGAAGAAAAGGCCCATGAATATTTCATCCATTTGACACCGACGTTTTAGAGCCAGGTGATGCCAACAATGTCGGAGATTCCCCGTCTGGTGTTCTCATTGTATCGAGCATAGTTGGTTTGTTGGTGATTTTTTAACCCAGCTAAAGTTCGTTCTCATTTTCCTGTCAAAACATCTTCATGTATCTATTTATCCACCTATTTATCTATCTATCTATCTATCTATCTATCTATTTATCTATCTATCTATCTATCTATCTATCTATCTATCTATCTATCTATCTATCTATTTTTATCTATCTATCTATCTATCTATTTATCTATCTATCTATTGATGTATATCTATAGTAAATAATGTAGAACATATATCTAGCATCTGGAGATCACTAAACCCTTTATTACTTCGAAATTTCTGTTTTTCTTTCGCTTTTTATTCTCAACAATTTCCTTGACGTTCCCCTTACACCTTCCATCGTTTTTCTTGGCAAAAGTCGGTGCCCATCTTAACCTCAATGTTTAAGTAGGAATTCCAGATAGCATAAAAGTTCCAAGGATTTGTGAAAGTTTTCGTCCTGCATTCTAAGATTGCTTTTTGTCCCAGAAATGTACAAAGGCAGTAAAGTCAATACTGCTATTGTCATGTATTGAATTACAATCACGTAATGGCGTAACGTTCAAAAAGAAACTCGCTGCTCCTCACTACTGTCCCTTCCAGTCACCTTCTCATTCTGTGTGTGTGTGTGTGTGTGTGTGTGTGTGTGTGTGTGTGTGTGTGTGTGTGAATGTGTCTGTATGTGTGTGCGTGTTACTACTATCTATCTATCTACCTGTCTATCTCTTACTCGCTTTGTTACTCTCACTCTCTTTTATTTCTCTCTTTCTCTCTTTCTTTATTTCTTTCTCCCCCATCCTCCGTCTCCCCCCCCCCTCTCTCTCTCTCTCTCTCTCTCTCTCTCTCTCTCTCTCTCTCTCTCTCTCTCTCTCTCTCTGTTCCTCTCTTTTTCCCTCTCTAACGCCCACCTCTTTCTCTCTTTCTCTCTCTCTCTCTCTCTCTCTCTCTCTCTCTCTCTCTCTCTCTCTCTCTCTCTTTCTTTCTCTCTCCCTCTCTATGAACGATGGTGTCATTCTAAACCGACAATCAGACGACCCTGAGCCGAATCCCCCAAACAAAGGGTTCGTGAACAACATTTCACATATTGTCCCAACCCAAACCAATCGAAATCTTTGGCCTCCATTCTTTTCTTTTTCCTCCGTCTTTCTTTCTGATTTCCTTTTGATGTTCTCGAAATGACCAGGCCGACGCCACATGACAGTGGGCTTCACTTTGTGCTACAGATCTCCTGCTCTCACTTCTTAGATTCTTGATCTTCCCAAAGCAATCAGCCTGACTTTTCTGAGAAAGGCGTCACCCATTTACTGTTTAGATGAGAGCAGCCTGGGGGGGGGGGGGGTGGCTGTCGCGATGCTACCTTCCCAACAACGAGGAGTTGCCAATAATCATGAAATTCTAGATGTATTGATACCACCATTTTCTTCTAGGTTCATCCAAAGATCGTACTAGTACATAACAAGATAGTTCACTCCTCTCTTTGAGCCAATTTTAAAAAGTGTCCTCAAAATCTGGTGGTGCCCTCTTCGAAAAAGTGCGGACTTTGCGAACAGAGTTGCCCAACTCGTGTGAAAAGCTACTATTCTTCTTCTGGGGAAACGAAAGAGAGCCT